TTGCCGGAAATAGTGGACAGAAGCAATCCTCACTCAGTGGTGAATGAACACGTGCATGTGGTGTGTTTGCGTGCAGAACCATGTGATGTTTGAAGCGCATGTGCATCACAGTGCTTGTACACTCTCTAGTTCTTCTGAGATTCCAGAGGACAACACTTTTGTACCGTTCACTTTACATTTTTCATGTACTGATTTGCTGATTAACTTTCTATGTGTAAAGACAATTTTTTTTTTTTTTTTTTTTTGAGACAGGGTCTTGCTGTGTACTATGTAGCCTAGGCTAGCCTTGAACTCAGGGCGAGCTTCCTTCCTCAGCCTCAGGAGAGCTGGGATTACAGGAATGTGTCACCGTGCCCAGCAAGACAATAATTCTCTAAATGGAAAATTCAGAGTCATTCATTTCAACTAGCCTAGTGTTTTGTTGTTTTGTTTTTGCATACAGTAGGCACTCAAATATTTGTTGGTTGTTAAGCATCAGTATTTTTGCCTTTCCAGAAATGGGTCAATTTAGGTAACAAATACTGAATTTGTGTTTAATGCCTGTATTCTTTTGTTAAGGAGAAAAATTGCTGGAAAGCAATAAGGGTGAGCCGCACAGTAACAGAAAGAAATGGAAGTTGAGGTTTGATGAAAGAATTATAAATAGACACCTGTCTAGTTTAAATGACTTCTTGTCTCCAAGGCAGGAAAAACTGTGTCTGTTTCTGAAAACATCCTAAAGCTAGGCCAGTGAACAACTCTCAATGGTCTTTGAAGAGTCATAAAGAAGCAGAAGAGCCAGAAGATTGCAATTCTAAAGACTGAGAGAGGTAAATTCTTGAAAATCTGCTGCAAGTTGCTTAGTATCACCAGACTAGTTAATAATTCACATTTTTACACTTTATACATTTAATATTTTCATGTATAAAGGCAGATTGTATCCAGACTTCAGCTGGCTAGTTTTCAAAATCTCTTTCGGATAGGTTAGAGAAATACCATATGGGGTAGATGCTAACATATTATAACAGCTAATTAGTAATGGAAAGATTATAGCAAACAAGTGCTTATAAAAAACTTAAATCAACAATTTTCATATTTTTGCCTAACCTTGCAGTAAGAACTAATTTTATACCATTATCTAGTATCCATGCATATATGTTCTATATATATAGATGTAAATGTAACTTTTAAGTTTCATAAAAGTAACTATCCTTATAAAATAGATATATTTTAATATTTCCCATTCTTTGTGTTCCTGTTGTACTTCATTTTAAAAAAAGTTGGTTGCTATCTATGGAACCAATTTCATGACTCTGTGCTGACTCAGCATGTACAGGTTGAAAAATGTGAGTTGATTCCTACCAATGCCTACTGAATTTTTATCCTGTTCAATCAAATATTTGAATGAAAATGTGGGAGGAATGGTCTCAAATTTGAAGATAAGAAGAATAGGACAATACATTATTTGGACAATATATTTAGGATTAGGAAATGTCTAGCAGATGAAATTTAAATACACACTAAATAACAATATGAATAAATTTAAATATATATGTACAATTCTGTGTACTGTATCTCAAAATCTACATGTAAATACACATTTTGGAAACAGGCTGCTGTTTAATAGCAATATGCCTAGAAATAAAAGAGTTCGATAATACTCTCAACATGAAAGGGGAATAGATTCAAAATTATCTGAAAACCTACTACGTGCCAATCATGAATAATTATATTACAAGAATCATTAGTGCCACGCTGTTGAAAACTCCAAACCAAACCAAACCAAACCAAATCATATCAAATCAAAGTGATTTGTGGTAGTTCAACAGAAGTTATATTTCTATGAGTCTTTGGTTGACCAGTATTGCATGTTTATATCTGTTTTCATGAGAAGCCACTTTGAAGATATCAATATGTAATACAACCACCATTGTTAATTCCCTACCACTTTGTTTGTAACTCTGTATTGTCTGTATTGTGCTTGTGATATGTTGTAAAATGTTGTATGTCTGTTAATGTTTCCCTCCTTTTATCTTTAAAATAAAAAAAAATTAAAAAAAAAAAAAAAAAAAAAGAAGTTATATTTCTAAAGGCTGAGGTTGAGGTAAGAGTTCCTCTGTTTTACACTGATCTCAACCCATGCAGAATTTGGACTGAGAAAAGCCAGAAATCTGTTCTTTAAAAAACAGGTGAAGGGAATATGAACATTTTTACTTTGCAGTACTGTTTTTATCTATTTATTTTTTAACACAAATGTAAATTATAAGTCATGCCTTTTAGATGCTGAAAACACAAAAATAATTAGGACACAGTCTTTTCCCATAGCCGAGGAAGGGATCGCATCAAGGAAACAACCCTAATGTGAAACGACATCGGTGATTGACAGTCGCTACATGTTAAGTCCCTTAAGTGTACAGCATTAGGGGCTTTAATCGTGGGATGTTATATGAACATGCCTATACTAGCTTGGGGAACTTGAGACTCTGAAGCTCAGTTCTTTGCTCAAGATGGCACATAGAAGTGGGTGGTGGAACAATCCAGGTTCTGTTGGATCTGGAACATATGTTCTCCATGCTCTGCAATATTGCCTCTTTTTTTTTTTCCTGTTTTTCTCTGGTACCGGGAATTGAACTCATGACCTTGTGCTTGCCAGCCAGGTGCTGTGCCACTGAGCTAGATCTTCAGCCCCAATATTTCCTCTTAAAACTCAGATTCATGGGCTTCTGATCTTTGAAGGAAGGGTTGCCCTTTGGAAGTATGAAAAAAAGTACACAAATTAACATTCACCACATGACATGTTTTTATACTGGAAATTTGAAAATATTCAAAAAACGTATTTGGAGGTTCCTATTATTACAGAGCTTCTATCTTAAAACATTCTGAATGTAATGCTAAATTATATGTATATTTGTAGGGAAATAGCCTTTGTAGGCTGAAAAGAAATGGATATTGTCTTCTCTAAACTTCAGACTTTTGGAGATAGTATTGAAAACATACAACTGAACTTATAAAGACTTGTACATGATTATAATTGGTCTTACATGTTTTTTTTTTTTTTTTTTTTTCGGAACCGGGAACCGAACTCACGACCTTGCGCTTGCCAGGCAGGCGCTTTTGCTGCTGAGCTAAATCCCCAGCCCCATCATCAATGTTGGTATTATCTGTAGTGACATGTCCCGAGAACGAGGTGCCCGCAATGAATAAGAAAAGGTAAATGATAAGAAAAACAGAAGAGGCAAAAGTCTGGGACTGCAGCAGCCCCCATCACCCATCTCAATCGCCTTTTATTAGAACCCAGAATGTAGCTCAGACCAACAGGAGTAATTCATTATCCCTTTCCATTTCTGCCTCTCGGCTGATGGTAACCATCCTTGGGCGAGCCTCCCACACCCCGC